TATAGCTTTTTACCCCAGCTTAGCTAAGTAACTGGAACATAGTGCTAGTTAACTCAGTTTACTAAGTTGTCTAGTCCGGCTTGGTTTCGGGGGCTAACAAAAGCAGCAAAAAATACCTCATAGAGGTGATTGGGATACCGCCTTGTTGTGTTAAACATCAAGCTATAGCTTTCCACAGACAAACTATGCCATTCCCTCTTGAGCAAGTGCTTTTAGCAAAGCTCTTGGATTGGGTATTCTTCAATTACAGCTAAGCAAAGCTGCGGATGAGCACTCTCAAACAAGATCTTAGCTGGTGAAGCAACACACTCTCAAACAATGCTTAGCCGGTGAAGCATCGCACTCTCAAACAAGATCTTTGATTGCTTAACATAAAATCACTAATTGAAGAACCTTGCAAAAAGAGGCCCCCCTAAACAATTGAAGGCCTCCGCTATGCCTGTGGAGGCCTGCTCATCACTTGCTTTGCTATGCACAAAGGCAAAGCTTCGAACTCCCTCCTTAGGGGGCAGCAAAGCACTCTTTTAGCTTGAGAGTGCTTTGCAAGAGCAAAAAGCCTTATATGCGTGTGTATGTGTGTGTGTGTGTGTAATGTACGTCTGTATGTATATGTCTTGTGGCATGCTCAACTCAGTTTATGCGCTCATCATGGAAGGGTTGACATTGTTGTGGTTATTTTAAGGAGTGCCATTACCGGTATACTTTGAACATTTAAAGTTTCTTATAAATATTTTTTCTATGCTGTGCCTGAGTTGAACGATTTAAATGATTATGTACTGGTCATGATGTAGAACATAGAAGAATGGGAAATTTACAACCTAACCCCTCCTTTCCACCTGGATTTCAAGAAGAACCTCCCAATTAAACCCCCTGCATGCAGTGGCTGAACTCCCCTTCCACACCTCAAAACAAAACCATTCCTACAATCACATTATGTTCTCCTTTTTTTTTCTTCTAAATTACATTCTGAACTTTATTCCACCTAAGTCCTAAGGCCCCAATGCCCTGAAACACACTCTCTCATTCTCTAATGTACTTTGTGTGTGTGTGTGTGTGTAAGCCTCCTTTCCGTCTCAATCTGTCTCACACTTTCTCTCTCTAAACACTTGCTCTCATTTTCTCATATGGACTCCCACGTCATCAGCCCTCTGTCTCCACCCCATCTTCCTCTCCTCCACTCTCCAATCCACTTCTTCCTCTCCCTCACTCTCCAACCCACCTGCCTCTACCCTCACTGTAAACATTTGTGGTTTTTTGGGAGATGGGTTCTGTTCTAAGAAAAAGAAGAATTTGGGTTTTTTGGGATATGGATGCTTCTATTCTGATAAGAAGAAGAAGAAACTGGGTTTTTGGGGATGTGGGTTCTTTTGATTTTAGAAGAACACACTGATCTTGAACACATCAATTAAACGTGGAAAAAATTATTCTTTGAGGAGATGGGCTTGTAGGTGAATAGAACTTGGATTGAGTTCGGAAGGTGGATACTAGGAAGGGATTTGACTACGGATTGGAGTTGAAAAGGTATACTTTGAACGTGAAGAGAGGGAAAGTTCCAGGGGGGCTTTTGCATAAATGGCTCTTTTGCTGGGAAAGTTGTAGGGAGCTTTTGCTCAAATGACTGTTTTGCAGGCTTCCATCCCATGCTTTCACCCAATATCTGTTTATTGAATTTAATAACCAAAAGCCAATCCATTCCCATTCATCTACCCATTTCGCCCTCTCCCATTCCTTGAGTACATGCAGTCTGGTGTGTGTGTGTGTGTGTGTGTGTGTGAGAGAGAGAGAGAGAGAGAGAGAGAGAGAGAGAGAGAGAGA